AACTGAACAAAAAAAATATATTCTCTGAGGTTACAGAACTATTAAGTGGCAGAGCCAGGATGCAGAGTCTAGAAGTTCACATCCATTACCAGAGTGCCTGTGTTCTCAGCCACTGTCTTAGCTACACTGGATAACATCACACAAGAACCATAACATACAAAGACATTCCTTTTAACCCTCTGGACAATCCAGATCTATCATTTCCTTTCCCAATGGAACATGTCTGAGTATATCTGCTTGTGAGTGAGCAGAGTGCCTTGTCTATGAATTGGTGATCGTATTTTTGTAGCCACACAGGCAAGCATATAGTGTATTTCTTACTCCACCCCAATTTACCAGGACTACTTAGTATATTACCAAGTTTATCCCAGAAATTAAATCTATGCCTTGGAATTTGCTAATTGAAAGTCAAGATAAAATATTTTTTAAAAACATGCAAACACTGTTTTTATAAACATGATAAGAATGATGCTATAGGAATAAACTATTCCTGTCCAGGGACCATCTTTCTATATTATTTCAATCTAATGAGGTGCATTATCCTTAAATGATTGTTATTTAAAAGATTATACTTTTAAATTTAGCTCCACTGTGTATAGTATATAAATCAAGATTGGCTATGCTATTATCATAGCCTTTCTTATGCACCAGGCACTTCAGAGTTCTCTAGGAGTTTGAACTTTAGTAACAAAAGTCCAGCTACAACTCTAGAGATAGACAACTGTCAGGAAAATAAAACAGGGCTTCTCATCAGCTGAATTTTGTCTGCATCTAATTGGATAAGCAGGGATGGACAACCACAAAGCACACTGGGAAAATCCTCTCTAAAAACTAGGCCACCAGTGGAAATATATTGCTCTTATTTACTTTCCCCCAAAACATAGGGAATATAAAAATGCAGTTTTTAGCACACTGTCATGGAGTAGTCCAAATATGAGCAACAAAATTCTATTCAGAGGGATTGGATCCTCCAAATTCTCAAAAACCATAGAAGAGTACTTAAGAACAGAGATGCTAGAACAGACTGCCTGGGTTTGAATCTTGGCTACACCACCTACTAGCTTTGAAGATTTTAGACAGGTAATTAACTTCTGTGTGCCTCATTTTCTTCATCTGCATAGTGAAAAATATAAAATAGTTCCTACCATCTATTTAGCACTTGAGTTGCATGCACTATAAGCTCTTTTCTCTCTACACATCACTTAGAACAGTGCCTAGCACATAGTAACCCTATACAAGGGTTAGTGGTCATCGTTATTATTATCATTCAGAAATGGAATGGCTCAATAAGGGCCAGATCCCTTCTTCCTTGCCTCTCCGTATAAAAAGAAAGGAAAAAACTTTCCAGAAAATACTTTGAAAGTGGCAAGTTTCCTCCAGAAATGGGCAGGTTTGGAGGGTTCAAGGAGAAAAAGGACATGTAGAGAGGACATCACTTTCCCATAACCATAGTAACACGTGATTATCAAGTCTTACCTGATTCCTTTGCACTTAAATTAACTCAGAAGGAGCTTGGTAGGTTCCATCTGATTCCAGGCTCTGGCAGCTGCTGCGGAATGCATGAGAACACTGAATAAAGCACTGTTTTCCAAAATAAAGAGGGGAAAAAAATAGAATGTCGAATGTCATGCTTTGTAAAACAATGCAACATACCTGGCAGGCACAAATTTCCTTGCTGCAAGAGAAAGAAAACCATTAATTTGGACTAAATAGTTTTTAAGAACACATCAAATCCAGAAACAATGTGACTTGATTCATTCAGGGGTTACAAACTGAATGCCTTCGGGGCCATTGTAATAATCAGAGTGCAACACTGTGGAAACGGGGGTTAAGTGCATAATGCATGTCCCATCCAGAGGGCACAGCAGCTACCTGACTCTAGCAAACAGGAATGGATTACCCAATAAACAAGATCTGCACAGGCTTAATTGGTAAGAAAACCCAGCCCATGCGTACCTTCAATATTATAAGCCAGTGCATACCGCGCTTACTGGTTAATCCACCCCTGCCAGCAAATAGTTGGAGGCTCAGCTTGCCAGATTCAGCTTCCAATTTTTCATGACAAGTCAGCAATCTGGATTTTCATGGGAACTTTCCTATTTTATAACTATCAGAACTTAATTCAAAAATGTTTAAAGATTCCATAGGCCAAATAAACCATGAGAGTGGCTGGACATGTTTGCATATTCCCTATGAGATACTCCAGAATTTAAACCTAAATCCTAAATGAATCATTTTAGGAAACAATTTTGTGTGTTTTCCTCAGAGCACCAATCATGGCAGCCTCATTACACAACCCCAGGGGGCACCAGAGAATTCAACATGAATAGTAAAATGTTAGCACGACTAACGTATTTCCTAAAACTCTTCCCACTTTGAGTTGCTCTATAAGCTCTTTTCTTAAGACTTCCATTTAATTATACTGCAGTTGATGAATGGTTATCTAATAATTAGATTATAATTACTGTTTAAATTTGCAAGAGAAGGCCATGACATCAATGACTCATCTTCTGAGGAAAAAAATATTTTCACAAATATATTTGGAGTACATTCCTGAACTGCCTCACCTTTCTTCCGAAGGCGTTTCAGAAGCCAGAGTAGAAATGATGCTAATGTCAGAAGGGAGGTTCCAGCAGCAGAAAGTCCAACTGCCAAGGGAACGTTGGATTCAGCGGGAGCTAAGGAAACAAGAGGTGAAGAACTGTGATGAGAAAGAACTGACTTTAAAGTCTTTCTGTCCCTTCCATTTGATCTTTTCCTCTATAAATTGATACTAGAAACAGAAAAACCATCTAGTCCAATGCATGAGGCAAAGACATGGCATTAAAGACTGTTTAGATCTGCTCCAAACCATGTTTGCAGGCTTGTTCCCTACCACTGCCCAAGCAGAACTCAAACTTGCCGAGCTCTTTCACAACACTATGCCTTGGTTAGTAGTCTCCCCTCTCTCTCTGTCTCTGTCTCTCTGTCTCACTCATTTCTCTTTTTCTCCTTCTTCCTTTCCCCTCTAGCGCTCCTTTTTCCAATTGTCAGAATTCTACCCTTTCAGTCAACATGTCACCTCTCCTGTTTTTTCTCTATCCCCATAAATATTCCCCAGCTTTTTAATCTGGGCAATCTTTCTGGTGGGACATAATGGATAGTTTATTATTGTAGCCAGATGACTCCCCTTCTTCTCTCTAGTCCCCAGAAAACCAGCATCAGTCAATGGATCACCTTCACAGCTGGGCAGCATCCCAGACCAGTGTCCTGTGGCACCACACATCAGAGCTGCAGAGCCGTTGAGCGTCCACCCGTCAGGACATGCAAACGTACATACAGTGCTGAACACAGGCTCCCCACTGCAGCTCATGCTGATTTTCCCAGAAACTGCCAGGCTTGAACACTGTACCACTGCAAACGATAGGCACAGAGATAGAGGTAAGGAAAAATCTACTGGAAAACTTCTAAAACTGGTTTAAATGTTACAGTTAAAATTACAGTAAATATAACTTATAAGCACTACTTCATTTTCAGCATGCAGAAAATTACAGTCAAATCTACTGGGCAATCTAGGACCAGAAACTTATGAGATCCTTGATCTGTAGTCTTTAAAGTCTGAACTCAGTCCCACCTTGGCAGGAGGGGACCTCCTGCGTCCACTGTCCCTGAGATGTGCACTCAAGTTGAGCTGATCCATGTAATTCAAAGCCGTCTTCACAGGTGAAGGCACAGGAGGACTTGTAGGTGAATTCTCCAGTAGGTGAATGGGTGTACCTCACTGAGCCACTCTGGGGCGGGCTGACAGCATCACATTTCACAGCTGGAAGACACCAGAGGGCACAGGAGAGGTTCGTTCGCATCCAGTAGCAATAGGTTTCTCAAGGTAACCAAGTCCCTAGCTCTTCAATAGTGTTTATCTTAAATAAAAAATAAAAACAAAACAAAAACTCTACCTTCACATGAGGGCTTGTCACTATCCCATTCCCCTGTGGGGCCGCACTGGAGTCTTTTGGATCCCTTCAGCACAAATCCCTGCTCACAGGAGAACTCACAGCTGGACCCACTTTGGAAACTTCCAGAAGCACTAGGAAAACAATTCATGTAGCCTCTCTCTGGGTTGGACAAGACTTTGCACTGTAGAGCTGAGACATCAAAATGATAGAAGATATTGAGTGAAACTGGAGGTTACTGGGCATTTGATGACCCAACGTAGTTCGTTTTTGACAGAACAATGCTGAGAAACTCAAGACTCTTACTCACTTCCTAAACGACTGGGAAGATGGCTGTGTTTTTTTGAATTCTAATACTCTCGTTGATAATGGCCCTAAAGGAGAGACTTTAACAGGAACAGTGTTTTCTGACACTGTCATTCTGACATGCAAGAGAAGTTAGGGTCAAGAGAAGGAGTTTATGCAGCCAGAGGGCAACTTACGGGTCCTGGAGGCTCACATAATGGGGGCCAAAAAGAAAGAAAAATAAGAAAGCACCCCCATAAAATTTGTCTGCTTTGCAGTTTGGTTATGGTGGTGTGCGTTTTTGCCACTGACACTTATTCTGTGCTGTATTTGGCTACAAGGAGCCCAGTGCTTGTTTTCAATATCTTTGCTGTTGTTTTAAAGTGAATTAAATTTTAGTGCTTAAATATGTATGAAGAGCGTCTGTGTATCACACCTCATACTTGAAGCATTCTGATCACTGCTAGTTATGAGTGATTTCAGAAGAAAGTTATGACAAGAGTTTTAGATTCCAATCAAGTTGTTATGACCCTACTTTTAAATTTTTCTAATGTCATTTTCCCCTAGTTTGAGAATTCTACTTACTCCATGCCAGTGTCTATAAAATTACATTAGCACAGCACAGTTAAGAAATCAGCAAAGCATCAGCTGCTTATTACATACAGTCCTTTTCTTGGTCAAGCATTGGCTCTTTTATATGAATCTCAAAAATGCAAGATGAATGTTGCCCATCAAATCTAATTTCTCTAGTTAAAGAAGGCATCTGGTTTCATTTTCACAGCACAAGTTTGAAGATTGATGCTCTTTAAGAACGGGATAGTGTAAAGGAGAGAATCTCAGGCTTACCTTCACAGGTTGGGATTTGCTGAGTCCACTGCCCTTGAGCGGTGCATTCAACCTGGGCTGGTCCCTGCAACTTGAAGTCTTGCTCACAGGTGAAGTGGCAGGATGACTGGAAGGTGAACTCTCCAGCAGGGGAGTGGCTACAGGTCACAGAGCCATTCTGAGGCTGGCTAATGGCGCCACATGTCACAGCTGTAACACATGTACGGTACCCATTTATATTAGCAGGTCTGGTTTGCACAGTTCAAGTGTTTTACAGTGAGTATTGATAGGATGCAACTTTACCTTTACACGTTGGCATCTTGTTGTCCCAATTCCCAGATGAGGTGCACTGGAGGCTCGGGACTCCCATCAGTTCAAATCCTTCTTCACAGTCAAATGCACAGGTCGTGTTCCATGGGAAGCTTCCAGGGCTTTGGGAACATTCCATGGCTCCATTGGCAGGACTTGTCAAAGCATCACACTCAACCACTGCAGATTTGAAAAAGCACCACAAAATTTACAGAAGAATAATATTTTCATTTCCTATTGAATTGGAGTTTAAAATGAAGTGAGGAAGACGCCTTCCAAAGGTAAGTTCCAAAGCACTGTGTAAATTATTGGGGACATGCACATCCACAGTAAAGCTTTTTTTCGTTTTTACTGATATTTTCATCTTCTCTGATTAGTTTTTACTGTGACCTTGCTGATTGATATCTGATATTTTTATTATTTACATAAGGAAAAAACAAGTAAAAAGAATAGATTTGAGGTCAGGATTTATTACTAGTTATGATACAACCATATTTTTTCTGACATACATAGGATATTTATTTATTTTAGCCCAGCAGGACCTGGAGAAAAGGTTTTTGTGTTTATTTGTTTTTGTTTGTTTGTCTCTGGCTCTGAAAGATGAAATCAAGAGAAAAAGATATTGAGACTGCTCGACTAGTGTGGCCTTAAGCTAGTGAATTGCATGGAAGGAGTTAAACAGGTGAAGAAGATGAGGATGTCACTCAGGTTTCTAGAATATAGTTCCTCTGTTTTATGTGTTCCTTCATAAATTCCCAGAGCTTTAGAAACACCCATTTCAAGCTCAGAATAAAAACCTCTCTCAAACCCAGCAGGTGCTGGATTGGCCATACAGATAGACTGAGAGAGCAAGTTTTATTAAAAACAACAACAAAAAGAACTTTCCCTAGAGTTTTGAAAATCAATGGGTTAAAAAAACTAAGGAGATCAGGGATGAGTTAGATAATGTTCTGTGCATTCAAGAGAGACTTACCATTGCAGGCTGGGGTAGGGGTACTCCATTCTCCAGAGGAGGTGCACCATGTGGCCTCCGTGCTGCTGGGGAGGCGATCCCTTTCACAGGTGACAGAGCAGGAAGAATTGTAGCTGAAGTTCCCCAAAGGATGGGTGCAAACCAGGCTCCCGTGCTCAGGGGGTTTCTGTGCTTCACAGGTCACAACTGAAAAAGGAAACTCAATCACTTCTGCTCTTCCCTTCCCTGGTATAAGCAGGAAGAACACTGGAAACCATAACTACTGTATATTGAATTCTTGCTATGTGCCAGGCACTATATAAATATTTCATCTGCATTTGTTCACATAATCCTATGTGCAAGCCTATGAAGTTGTTACTATCATCATCTTTATTTTACAAATGACAAAGCTGGGGCCCAGAGAGTTTAAGGTCCTTGTCAAGGTCCCATAGCAAATAAGTGGTGAATCTGAGATTTGAATCCAGGAATTCCAACTCCATAGCCTCTGCTCTGCCCCAGAGAAGGGAAGACATGTAGACCTGACTCCAAAGCCAGCTAGGACATGAAATGGGGCCACCATCTCAAGGGAAGGGAGAGGTGAGACCAAGATTTACCTTGTTCACAGTTGAGTCCACTGAAGCCGGGGTCACATTTGCAAGTGTAGTTATTGATGGTCTCCACACATTCCCCATGACCGCTGCAGGATGTACTGGTGCAGGCAGCTGCAGGAAACACAGTCACTGATGAGGATGATGCTTGTGCCAACTCATGAGAATTTAGCATCAACAGTGTGCATTGCCATCTTACTTCTACAATACTAAAAATCTAGTTGCCATCCAGTCATTTCCGACTCATGGAATCCCCATGTGTGTCAGAGAAGAACTGTGCTCCATAGGGTTTTCAATGGTTGATTTTTTGGAAGTTGATCATCAAGCCTTTCTTCTGAGGTCCTCTGAGAGGACCAGAACCACTAAATTTTTGGTTAGTAGCAGAGTGAGTTAACTGTGTGCACCACCCAGGTATACACACATACAGGCTAAATTTATACAAAGAAGCACAAAGAGACACTTTATTCATTAAACAGAACTTCTTAAAACTATCTTTTAGAACATAAAGTTGCCACAATAGAGATTGATTTTTGCATGCTGTAAACGATTTATCAAGACACTCACACACGGAAACTATCCCCCTCTGCTGCCCCAAACTCCCTACCTGTGTAACACAAGGCAAGCTTCTTTTTGTTGCAGCTCTCATCATTCCACATGCCCGTATCCTTCTCTCTCTTGATGTAGATCTCTACGCAGTCCTCATTGTTTCGCTTATTGTTGGGTTCTCCTGGAGCCCAGTTCTCAGCTTCTTTAGTCAGAGGCTTCTGGGTCCCTTCCCAAATCCACACACCATTGACCTTTCTGATTCCAATCCAGTAGTAACTTGGTGAATAGTTCAATATGGAGTTCAAGTACTTAATCTCTTCTTTGTTTTGAATCGCTACTAGGTGTGTGTATTGCTGACAATACACCCTTGCATCATCATATGTCATGTTTTCTGCAGAGGTGCTGTAGGTCCAGGCTCCACTGTCTTCAATTAGGAGGAACACTAGGGGGAAACACAAAAGGAATGGTAGAGGTTAGTCCTGCTGCAATTTGACTCCGTCAACTGAACTTTTTGTTTTCTTAATTGTGGTGTATTTTTCTCCCGAGGAACCAAAAATGTATGCTTCAGTACAGTGGCCTCTTTTCACTTTTCAGAATTAAGAAAGTGTGTGTGTGGAGAAATGACATTTATTGTGAAACTCCTTTTTGATTGCCCTTCCTGAACTCTCCCACTATAACCTACTAGCCTACCCACTTCACAGTAGAATAATAATCAGAATAACTAAGCTTTGTTGAGCATGTAATACGTGCTGCCAAACACTACCTAAAGCACTATATGTGACCATCACACTGAATTAACATGGTGCCTCAGGAAAATCGATAATTTACTATCAGCACTTCACACCTAAGGAAGGTAAGACACTGAGAGGTAAAGTAAATTGCCTGTTAGTTGCCGTGGAGTCATTTCAGAATCATGGTGATCCTGCATGCGCAGAGCTGAATTGCTCCGTAGGGTTTTCAAGGCTGTGACCTTTCGGAAGCAGATCACCAGCCTATCTCCCGAGGCACTTTTGGGTAGGTTTGAGCCACCAACCTTTCAGCTAGTAGTAGAGCGCTTAAGCGTTTGTGCCACCCACCAACTCAAATTCCTCCTAGCCCAGGGCATAACACATTGTGCGTAAAGGCCGGGGATGCTACTAAACATCCCACAATTCACAGGATAGCATCCCACAACGAAGTATTATCTAGCCCAAATGTTGAAAGAGCCAAGGTTGAAAAACTCTGGTCTAACTGACAACATTGACTTACCAAAAGTGAGAGCAGATAGAAACTGTGTAGCAGTCATGACCTCAAGAGTTCTTTTTATCAAAGGGTTAGACGAGAAATGCTTTTCTGGAGAGGAAAAAGTACAAAATTAATTACAGAACGAAATTCTGGGCAGCCAGTTACACATGTCATTTTACAATTATGGTTTTATGGCAGCATCATAAATGAGATTTTAGGCAAAGAATTCCAGTGCCACAATCTATGTGTACATCGAAGAAGTTTACTCAAATGAATAAATACAAAATTTCAGACTTTTCATCATTTAGGTCAAAGAGAAAAGCCTGGTTTTTAACTAGTCAATACAATAAGAGCTTGCAGAAGATCCTTTATTGGAAGGTTTTTGCATGCCTGTTCATATTGTTAATCTATTTTTCATGTCCCAAGTCTGCTCCTGTAAAGACTTCTGCACTTACGGTTTCCTGAAGTGGTTGTACGGGCGTCAAATCCTCCAGCGTAAGGCTCCTGGTTCTGTGCTGTGTCACTCTAACACTGCGGACATGAAGTCAGCCAAGAACAGCTGAATTCTGCTCCTGCTGGCGTCCCTTTATAGGAGAGCTCACTTCCTGTGCATAATAGGAGGATATGTCCAAACTGAGCAAAGAGGAATTCCCCAACAGCATCCAAGAAGTTTCCCGGGAATATCCATAATGCTAAAAATTACAATGATGTCCGAAACCCTGCCCCTCAAACTAATTCTCCTTTGTCCGTTCCTTTATATTTTACATGCAATTGTATTAATATGACACAAATTATGATTTTTCATTCTGATAACATAAAATCTAGGTATTTTAAAAAGTTTTAAGACATTATTAGCAGTATCTCTCATGTAATCATGGTAGTAATAAGAATTTTGAAAACATAAGCAAACTAAGAATAGGCTTGCTATCCGTGGAATACTACTCTCAATTTTTTTATCAGTAGCTGTCAGTAACATGGCACTGCTCACTGTTCCTTTCTCGCATGCCAACTCAACTCATTTTACTGTGTACTGTGTCTCAGAGAGGTACGCGTCATGAGGTGTACATTGGTCCTCAGGTTCTGTGTGCCTGCTGTGGCTAAATCACTAAAAATAATATCTTCCACTTAAATGCTTGACATAATGTCTTCTTAAAATTTTTTTGTAATTGGGAAATAGACTTAGATGTTCATGTCTGGAAAACAGTCATGATTTGTCCAGTGAAAAAAGAAACATGAAAAACTCAGATTTAATTGGAACAAATTTTTTTTATTGTACTTTAGATGAATTAGTTTTTCATTAAACAATTAATACACATATTGTTTTGTGACATTGGTTGCCAACCCCATGACATGTCAACACTCTCCCTTCTTGACCTTGGGTTCCCCATTACCAGCTTTCCTGCCCCCTCCTGCCTTCTCATCCTTGCCCCTGGCCTGGAGTACCCATTTAGTCTCATTTTGTTTTATGGGCCTGTCTAATCTTTGGCTGAAGGGTGAACCTCACGAGTGACTTCAGTATTCAGTTAAAAGGGTGTCCGGAGGCCATACTCTCAGGGTTTCTCCAGTCTTTGTCAGATCAGTGAGTCTGGTCTTCTTTTGTGAGTTAGAATTTTGTTCTACATTTTTCTCCAGCTCTGTCAGGGACCCTCTGTCAGAGCAGTCGGTGGTGGTAGCCAGGTACCATCTAGTTATGCCAGACTCAGTCTGGTGGAGGCTGTGGTAGTTGTGGTCCATTAATCCTTTGGACTAATCTTTCCCTTGTGTCTTTGGTTTTCTTCATTCTCCCATGCTCCATAAGGGGTGGGACCGGTGGAGTATCTTAGATGTCCATTCACCAGCTTTTAAGACCCCAGACGCTACCCACCAAAGTAAGATGTAGAACATTTTCTTTATAAATTATGTTATGCCAGTTGAGCTAGATGTCCCCTGAGACCATGGTAATTGACACATTTTATTTAAGCATTTAAAAATATGGATGTGCAAAGAATAAAAACTGAAAGAAAATGTACCAAAATATTAACAGTGACTATCTCTTGATGGCAGGATTTTAGACTTTTGTTAGAGCCTTTGTTATTGTTTTCAGCATTTTCCAATTATTGCAATGACCCTCTTTAATTTAATTTTATAACACAAATAATGCATTTTAAAGAGTCACGTCTAAATGCAACTGAAGGGAATATACATACATATATACTTACATTAAAAAAAAATTGCTGTCAAGTTGATATCTGTTCATGGCAACCCCATGTGTTACAGAGTAGAACTGCTCCATAGGGTTTTCTTGGCTGTAATTTTTACGATAACAGATTGCCAGGCCTTTCTTTTGCTGAGCTGCTGGGTGAGTTCGAACCACCAACCCTTAGGTTAGCAGCCAATTGCAAACCGCTTGCACCACCCAGGGATCATATATATATTTGTGTATGTGTTTATAAAGTGCTCCATATTCCTGATCTTCATGATATCGACAATTCTTTTGGTGACTACTACATCTCTTCCCTATCTCTGCATCTTCTCTAAAAGATAGAGACAATAAATGAGGTTCATTTTAATTTCCATATTCTGTAGGTTTTCAGAGCTCAAGTCAAGCTAATATTCTTTGATTACACGTTTTTAAAATAGGAAGTCTAAAAATGTACTCTCAGCAGACATAGAATGATGGCAGGGTGGGTAACAGGTTTATTTTTTCTCTTTACTTGCCAGTACTGGCTCTTTCCTTGCACACTAAGAAAGTCAAGGCCGAAATCAAATAAGAAAGGTTAAGAAAAATCCCAATGAATATAACTGATTTAAAAATAAAAATAATTAGCATATTTAATTCAGCCCCCTTTCAAGAAACCTAACTTTTAACAGATGATGTATATCCCCCACCTTCCCATCTCTTACATTATCCTTATACTGATAATTCTGTATCCCACTTTACTTAACTAGATGTAGTTTTGTTATTGATAAATGAAGAAGTCAGTGTTTATTTAGATTTCAGGGGAGGATGTGAAGCTGGGTTAATACAAAATCCGTATATGTTTTATTTTGTATTTACGTTTGGAACACATGATATGCCATACAAAATGCATGGCCAAATGTGTATTGTAACCAAACCTTAAAACAAAATGTATCTGACATAATAATTACTTTGTAAGTAGAAATCAGTTATAAATGTCCCTAGATAACTACTTTTATTATGATGAATTTTTTTCATAAATCTAAGTTTATAGTTTTTCTCTTTTAGCTCAAAGGTATCAAAAATAGTCCTAATGTTGATACAGTCCCTGTTTCATTTAAAAACAAATGTCCTGGACCCCCAGTTATAATTGCTCACATTTATTGAGCACATGCTATGTGCCAGGCCCAGTCTTGAATATCATGCATGTTCATCTATAGGATGGTTTAATCCTCACAGCAATCCTATGACATAGATTAATAGATAGATATAGATAGATACATGATAGATAGACGATAGCTTCTGTCAAGTCGACTCCAGCTCATGGTGATCTTACGCACAACAGAATGAAATGCTGCCATGTCCTGCATCATCCTCACAATCACCGTCATGTTCGAGCCCATTGTTGCAGCTATTGTGCCAATCCATCTCACTGAAGTTTTCCCTCCCTCTTGTTGGCCCTCTGATGATCCTTTCTGATGATACGTCCAAAGCAAGTGAGTCAGACTGGCAAATTTTGAGAAGTAGGTCACCAGGTCTTGCTTCCTAGTCTTAGTCTGGGAGCTCCTCTGAAACCTGTCCTCCATGGTGGACCCTGCTAGTGTTTGAAATACTGGTAGCATAGCTTCCAGCATCATAGCAACATGCAAACTACCAGAGTACAACAAACTGAGAGATGGTTGGTGGACCCTCTGAAATAGATATTTTTACTATCCCCATTTTACAGATGAGGAAATTGAGGAATCGAGGATTTTATCTATCTCATCCAAGCTCATAAAGCTAAGAAGTTGAAACTCAGGCTGTTGGTCCCCATAGGCGATTCCCTTAGCTGCTACTCCAGACCATGATTTCTTTTGTAGCTACGCCCCACGCCAAGCCTCCCTGTTCTGCTCAGGCCTCCAGCTCTCCTCTTCCCAAGAGCTCCTTGACCATCCCAGCTGTCCACCAAGAGGGCTGTATCCTGGATTCTGAGACATAAACACTACACCATGAGGGCAGGGAGGGGACCTGAGGGTGGTGAGCAGTAGTTAGAAGAGGTAGTGAGAACAAACTCTGGGTTCTCAGCGTATGGGGGAGGGGAGTGAACAAGGGAAGAAATAAGTGAGGCAGGCAGCACTATGCCTAGAAAGGGTTGTTGACCCCTACATCACACTTTCCTGAAGCTTCTGATTCAAAAGCAAATCCTCTCTACAGCTGAAGGGCAAAATGATCATTTTAAATGTACTGTAGGAGAGCTTCTGGGAGAGCACCCAATGCTAGAGAGAGGGGCAAGAGAAACAAGGGTTGGAAAAAGGCATAGCAGGTAAAGGGCTTTGTGTGTTTGTTTTTTAACCAAAGTTATGATATTCCAAACCCACTCCCTCTTGCAGTTACCTTGCATTCTCCCAGAATATTTTCTACATCCCTACCCTGAGGCTGGGAGCTGAGGGGCTTTCTTCAGGCTCCGGGTTGCTAGACAGACCACAGACAGACCCAGTTTGCCTCATAGAGGCACCAGAACAGTCAGGAGCAGGAATGGGATTACAGCCTGATTGTAGCTTCTTCCCTTGGTTTTTCCTGTCAGCATCTTATGAGGGGCTCCTACTTGTTGGGGTGAACAGGTTGAATACGAAGTTGGGAGAGTGTTGAGTAACTGGGGAGGTGGTGGTGGTGAATACAATTTCCACAAAAAAACTAAGCTTCCCCAACTGACAGGCTGACTAGAGTTGCCCCACAGCTCCACTGAGTCTCCCAAGCTTTGAAAACATGGTTGGCTGTCCCTGGACTGTTCGGTTCTCATCCCCGGGGCCTCATGTGGACCCTCTTTATAATCCCCATCTCAGGGGAGAGATCCTCTAAATCAATTAGACTGAGAAAAGGAAAGACGACGGTACAAACACAGACACACCCCAGGCTCCACCACCAGGGTGATCTGTCTCTGAGGCGCCACACTTCCTGCCTTCATCATCCCTTTCCCAGAAGTTCTTTGCTCCCTCCTCCACACCCTTTAATGGGGGCATTAAAGACTTTAGTTTCTGTGCCCTTTCTCACCTTTATGGCAAAGGGACATCCCTAGGGGATGAGATAGAGCCAGAAAGAGTATGTTGGGATCCCCAAGACAAATATTACAACTTTAACCAAGCCCACCCTGTTCACCTTCAATGTGGTGTGCCATCAAGTCAATTCCAACTCATAGTGACCCCATGTAACAGAGTAGAACTGCTAGGGTTTTCTTGGCTGTAATGTTTATAGGAGCAGATGGCCAAGTCTTTCTCTTGTAGAGCTGCTGGGTGGGTTTGAACCACTAACTTTTTGGTTAGCAACCTAGCCCTTAACCATTTGCACCACTAGGAGATTATTGGGCTTAGTGAAAAATAGCACTGGCCATAACTAATGTGGCG